GGCCCCCCGGACGAAAAATATACATACATACATACATACAAGAACTCTCAAAACGCCCAAAGCGAAGCCAGTCAGCCAGTTCAAGCCCCTCAGTTGTCAAGGGATGCAATATTGAGTACTTTGACGTCAATGCAAGACATTTCTGTACTTTGTGCACATCTGGCTTGCGCCTTAATAAGGATGTACATATTGATCGTGTAACGTTCCACGACAGCCTCTCGTACTGAATCGCGACCAAGACGCAGCATCCGAAAGCAAGGGATTCCGTCAACAACCGGAGATGGCTTTTTACGAACCTCGGTCTCAGAAATAGGGGTCTCGACCTTAACATTCCTCAAAAGTCATTTCCTTTTTTTAAGCCTCAAGGGTCCACGGCTAATTCCATTTTCAGCCACCAGCGACCATTTTAAGTCACGAGCATATCACCAATTCAGCCTTAAAGCGACAGCTGCAATTTGCTGACAGGTCCGGCGCTGAGACTATTTAATTGTTAGGCGTCTTTCTGCTGACAGGGAGCCAGAATTGGTCTTAGTCAAATCTGGTGGGGTTTTGTCATAATCGTCAATGAGCAGCTAGCGAATTCTAAGCGGCTGAAGCACAGAGCTTTTGATCGACCAACAGTGTCGCATAAAAAGCCTCTCAGGCGAGGATCGCCGATAAACAAACAGTGTCGCACCAGGGAGACAAGTAAAACTGGGAAGAATACCGGGTCACAGAGGATCCTTTAATCTGCGAATTGTGGTACGTAAACAAAGATAACAAAAAGACCAGAGTTTTCTGTTAATTTTCTGTGATTAATTCTGCGAAAATAGCGCCTGGAAGCTGGTTAATATGATGGCGTGTTGGTGGTAGCTGTGCCGCTGGTGATTATGATGGTGATAAAATAATATTATGGCGACGCCACAAGTCGAGACCCATCAATCAATTGCGGCTGTCTTCTTGGCTGCATTCATCACCAGCCTCATGGCTTTCAGACATCTCAGTTTCTGTTTGTTTTGGTTGATCACTGGATAGTCACAGCTGAGTTCTCAGTGATTCTCATCGCCTCTCCCTTCTCTGTAACCCTGGAGGTTCCATGTTGATCGTCAATCGACAGGCTAAAGTCGCATTTTACAGGGGGCATATAATCAAGACCCAACTGTGCCATGTTCGTACAGGATTGACCCTCGTCGCTTGTTTGAGTTTTACGATGAGGCCATTGATCGCAAATTAAGAATTGATTGGGGGTTTACGTGGTCATTCCTGTATAATACGAAGGAGTGAGTTTGGGAATAAACAGCGATTAAACTAGAACAATGAAGTTCGACTTGGACTGAGAAAGCTTCCGAATATAGATCAAGGCTCTGAGGACGCGCAACGCACGCATCCATTATGGAAGATGGAGTCAGCTTGACCAAGTCAAGACAAGTTCAACCCCGTGTTGATGATCTCACACACCACTAGAGGATTTTCCAACCTCGTGTCTGCCGTTGCACCCGTCTTGAAGGAGGCTGTGCAATGATCCGTTTTTGAATGAACATTTGCAATTGTTATCGACTCTGATGTTGAACGTACAATATTAATGACATTTTTGTTAATTTGCAATACAATATCTCTCGTATTATCGACGTGGTAATGCTCTTGGCCTTGGTTCCAGAACATCTGCGTCACGGGTCCCGCCTTGGCCGGAATACTAGGGGCCGGTTGCCGGGGAGTCCAGGGCGGAACATCCGCTAAAATGGGAAATTCCAGGTTATCGGTCCGCATCCGGTGTGGCTACCTGCCCCCTCATTCGCTCCTTCCAACTGGGCCGTTACAGTTGCAGCAACGATTCATTGACTCTCTTGGGCTCTTTGTACTCTTGTCCTCGTCACTCCATCTTTTTTCCTCTCTTCAGCTCCGTCTCTCGCAATAACAAGGCAAAAAGAAAGATTCGGGTCGGTCGGTCTTTTTGTTCCACTCGCTCAACTTGTTTGTTCCTGTTCCTTGCGCTTCTGCAACTCTCTCGTTTCAACTGCAAATTATATCTCGCCGATTGATCCACCTTCTTCCAAGGTGATCCCCTTGAGGCGGCACGCCCGCTGCTGGCATCATCGATCCTCTTGGCACTGCCTGCTCTCGAGTTGTTGCAGCACCTTATCGCTATCTTTATCAGTGTCACTCTGCTTGAACCTGCCTGCTCCTCCGCCTGGATCCAGATTTAGTATCCAACCACTATCCACAATGCAGAACTACCACGGGGATCCCTACGAGAGCGAACCGCTCGACTCTCATAATCGCTACGATTCCTCTCCCCGAAGACCCATCCCTCCTCCCCATAGTTATTCACCTTCGGCTGCCCACTACGACGCTCCCCCGAGATCAAACCACCCAAGCGCACATCCCGATTCTTCATACAGCCGTGTTCAAGGTGGCTACGACGACTATTCTTCTCACGGTCGCCCAGTTTCGCCTTCGCCGTACGCAGGATCCGCTGGATACGACAGTCCTCGACGACCATCGCCTCAACAAAACGACCACGGTTATTACGGCAACCAAGGCTATAATAACTACGGAGGTGGCGGCGGCGGACACATGGGGTATGATCACCCAAACTCCCATACAACACCGGGCGCAGACAATTTTGGAATGTCTGCATCTGGTGGTATGGCAGGAATTGCTGTTAACGTTGCTGACCGTAATCCTCGCTATAGCGGCATAGGCGCAATGGAACACTCCAACTTGCCCCCGCCTCCGTCGCGGACTCAGCAAAACCCGTACGGCGGAAACGGAGGCTACGGTCACGGTTACGATTCGCCTCGTGGGCCACCATCGGCAGCGACATCTCACTTCAACGGTAGCGATCCCTACATCGATAACCCATACCCCGGATATACGAATTCGCGGCACGGCAGCGACAATCTCGGCGTAGTGAATCCTAATGAGATCGTTGACGATGGAGACGACGGACTTGTGTATGGAAAGAGCCAAAGGAACTCAATGCTTAGCCTTTCCAATTCCGACCGCGCGAAGAGGGGTGCTTCTGCAACCGCTGCTGCGGTTGGAGGTGGTGCGGCTGCTGGCGGCCTTTTGGGTGGACGAGGTCAGTATTCGTCTGCCAAGTGTGCGCATTCGCTAATTAGGTACAGGCGGAAGCTACGAGATGAATGGGGCACGGGAAAAGCCTTACGGTTATGGCTCAGACGATAAGGACACTGGGAGGAGTAAGAGGTGCAAGTGGCTCATCATCGTCGTTGTGTTCCTCGTCATCGTTGGCGCTATTGTCGGTGGTGTCGTTGGTAGCATGGTGAATAATGGCAAGAAAGACGACAGCACAGCGAGTTCGGGAGAGTCAGCTAAGGACGACACGAAGAAGAACGGCGATCTTGGCAAAAACAGTGCCGAGATCAAGGATCTTCTCAACAATCCCGACCTCCACAGAGTCTTTTCTGGCATGGACTACACCCCTCTCAACTCGCAGTATCCCGACTGTATGCATAACCCACCTTCTCAGAACAACATCACTCGCGACGTCGCCGTGTTGGGTCAGCTTACCAACAAGATTCGACTGTACGGAACCGATTGCAACCAGACGCAGATGTTGATTCATGCTCTCGACCGATTGGAACTCAAGGATACCAAGATCTGGATGGGTGTTTGGCTTGACAAGAACGAGACAACCAACGATCGACAGATGGCACAAATGTGGGACATCCTGGATGAGTATGGTGATGCTCCTTTTGAGGGCATCATCATTGCCAACGAAATTCTCTTCCGTGAGGAGATGAACATCACCACATTGGCCAAGATCTTGGACGACACCCGCACGAAGCTCGACAAGAAGGGCCTCAAGCTCCCTGTTGCTACCTCCGATTTGGGCGACGACTGGACATCTGAGCTTGCTACGGACAGTGACTATATCATGGCCAACATCCATCCCTTCTTCGCCGGAGTTGAGGCATCCGAGGCTGCCGCTTGGACTTCCAACTTCTGGAAGACCAACAACGGAGATTTCTGGAAGACGGACACGAAGAAGAACATCATTTCGGAAACAGGCTGGCCTACCGGAGGTGGCACCAACTGTGGCTCAGCCGCAACATGTACCAAAGGATCAGTTGCTGGTATTGACGAGCTCAACACCTTCATGGATGATTGGGTTTGCCAGTCTCTCAAGAACGGTACCAACTACTTCTGGTTTGAGGCATTTGACGAGCCTTGGAAGGAGAGGTACAACACCAAGGGCAAGAACTGGGAGGACAAGTGGGGTCTGTTGACAGCGGATCGTGAGCTCAAGAAGGGAGTCAAGATTCCCGACTGCGACGGCAAGACGATCCAGGACTACAGCATGTTTTCTTCATAAATGACTCGATGCATTCACGACATTGCTCAGCGACGATTGATGTCTGAGTTTATGTCAGCTCTGCGGATGCGAGGGCATGTATTGGATATAACCATCATCACCTCAACACTCAGCATTTAATGTCTTATCACGGACCGGAGTTACGGAGTATTAGGGAAAACAGGTAAAATGTTATGCCCTTTGTATGTTTTTTTTTTGTTTCAGATACGCCTGGCACGATTGCTTTTTTGTAGACGATGGAAATATTAGGCTGGCTTATTGTAACGATTCGCCTTGCGAGAGTATATAGTTGATGGAGGAACGGCTAGGACAAACAATATAGGTATTGGCTCAACGATTGATGCGCGGCACATGAATTGATCCGTGATGTGAAATATTGATCGTTGATGTACCTGATTAATGGGTATCTTGCCCGAAGGCGCTGCATATTCGTGTCGTCGTCAGTCGTTACAAGCTATATGGCCAAGCAAGATGTATATACCGTGCTTCAATGCGCCCGTCCCAAGCATTCATACCAAGCAATCGCCCAAGTTTTTTTCCCCAGCAACTATCGCATCAACCACCCTCATGAAAACTCATCATCTCCTTCTCCCATCGCAAGCCTGGCTCCATCCTCCATCCAAGGCTCAATTCCCAGGCTGATACGTCCCCTCCCCTTCCTCATCCCTTCCCTGCGTCTGACTTCTAGGCGTGAGAGGTCTAGGGTGCGAATAGGCGACGGCAGAAAAACCCTCGATCCCCTCAATGGGGCAGTGGAACATGCCTGGAGGAACAGATGCGGCCTTGCTCATGTCGGCGTTCGTCATGCCTATCGTCCCAGCCTTCCACATGTCGCGCTCCTGCGTGAACTTGTCGAGTTTGTTTTCGAGAGCGGCGATTCTTCTAGCGTACTCGCGGAGGGTGTTGATGACCTTGTCCATGTCTTCTCGCAGTTCTTCGGTACTGTTTGGGATGGAGAAGTCAAAGTCTGGGGGGGAGACGCGAGCTTGGGGCTGCTGGATTGCGTGGAGCGGTGCCTGGGTGACATTGTATGCAGCCGGATTGCCATTGAAGGTACTTGGGTTAGCAGGATACGCATCCTGCGGCGCATTGAACGCAGGCCCGCTGCTCATATACGGCATCGGATTCGGCGAAGGGGTTGGAACGCCCATACGGGCAGTCGCGAGAAGACGGCCGGTGACTTCTCGCTGAAGATGAAGGCTCACCATGGCGGAGATGTCAGTTCCGCACGGGGCCTTGCCGACCTTTTGTCTACCAATCGTCAGTCTTAGTCAATTGCAACTGAGGAGAGACGGTTACCTCTTCAGCATGATAGAATCGCATGCATCTTCGAGAAGCGAACGCTTGAGTCTGTCGTCGGCGTAGATGTACTCATGCTTGCGAGTTGCTCGATCACAGACCTGCCATAGTGCTTGATACTCTGCTTCGCGGGCTGCTCTGTCTGGCTTTGCCTCTGGGGATGAAGACGCCATAGTGATTGAGCTTCAATGGTAGATTGAGCTATTGGTCTAAAATTGTAGAGTCTTTGTTGCAGGTTTGATGTAATTGACTGAGTTTTGTGAGTTGGATAAAGGATGACAAGAAGAGACGGAATTTATAAGAGGGAGATTGAAGAGGCTGTGAATCACTGCGCGATGCGTACTTAGACGGGGTTTCTAAAAGAGAGAGAATTGCTTAGGAGAGGTCATGGCGGGTTAGAGGATAAGAGGGAAGTTTTGAGGAGAGGAAGGAAAGGATTGAGAAATTGGGTAAAGGTTAGTGGAGATGAGGATGGATGAGGAGGATGTTAGAGGACTTTTGGCAGTGAATTGAAGATATGTGATAGAGTGAGATGAACTTGACAAAGAGAGGAACTGGATAGACTTACTGGAAAGCTCAAGGTCTTCGAAGTGAAGGTGCGCGACGATGTTGGTAGTGGTCAAGTTGGAGATGTTGATCTTGAGGATGATGGCCTTGGTGAGGAAGAAGGTTTGAGTTGGAGTAGATGAAGAAGAGAACTGAAATGGTAAAGAAGAGCCTTCAGAGTCCAGAGGCAAAGGATCGCGACCACAGAATTGAAGCGCGAGGACAAGTTATGAAAGTGTTTACCAGAGGTTGATGATGCTGGAAGAGGTTAGAAGAGAGGGTGAAGGTCGTGAAGTGAGGATGAACGATTGAGCCGAAATAGATGAAGTAGAGGAATGGAAAGATAAAGAAGAGCCTTAAAAGTCCAGAAGAAAAGGACTGCGACAACAGAATTGAAGAGTGAATGCCCGCTACAGAGATGGCTGTTGGGATTGACTCGATGTTGGATGAGGTTAGAAGAGAAGGCGAAGATCATGCATGACAAGAGGCCGAGGGAAGATCAAAGAGACTGGAAACATTGGACATCAAAACGTGACATTGAATTACTCAAGGAGAGCATGTCTAAAGGAATTGAGCATGAGAGGAGAAGCCCATCAGTGAGTGCAGCGCACAGTCTTCGCAGCCACCAGCAACTGAAGCCCAAGATGCAGACCATCGGCACACTCAAACGAACACTCGTCAATTAGCAATTACTAACAACGATTAATTAATAGTGGTAGCCTCAAGCTTCTTCACCAATTCCTCTTCCTCATCACTCTCCTTCTTCTCCTCCCCATTCTCAATCTCAACCTCCTCAATCACAATCCCCTTCCCTTTGGCTTCACCCTCCTCCTCACTCTTCGGCTTCCAGTAAATACTCGTCGTCGAAAACGCACAATCCAGTCTCTCCTGCGGAAAGTCACAGCGTTCGTATGCCTTGTGCATTCTCTCCACGTTCTCGATATGCTCGTCTGCAAAGATACTGTTCCCAATTAGCACCAACCCATCACCCTCACCGAGCGCAACATCAACTCCAGGGCATAACTTACTCTCCCCAATCTTCCCAGCCAGTCCCAACAAACAGCGCAGGAAGTTCACCCTTTAGCGCATCGTTGTACACAGGTCTGTAAAGATGAACGCCAAAGAAGAGCGTCTTCTCATCGACCATCTGCGTACCCTTCGGATCATCAAGAACGGTGTGGCCGATATTCCCGAGAAACTTTTTGTCGGAGGCGTTGAAGGCTGGGTCCTGGAAGAATGTCTCAATCTTTCCACTCGTAATTTTCTCTGCCCAAATCAGTCCCGTTCATGTACAATCTGATGAGAGTAGACGTACCCAGTTCGTCAACCATGATCTCAAAAGCCGCAAGTTGCGCAAACGTTGATCTCTTGCCATCCAGATTAAGCCCGTCATTCGGATCAAATGTCCCAACACCCAAATGAACCGCCTTATCAATCTCTGTCAAATGCGACGCCTTCGCCGTGACAAGTTCACGAAGACGAGGACAAGAGTACGCTTCCTCCTCCCATCTCTTGCGATGCTGCTTATAATCCTTCTCCAAATCCTCCGGACTCCTAAGACCTTCCGTCTGAGGCTTCGCGTGTCTCGATGAGTGAGATTCGGTATTGATTCGTCTGTTCTTGCGTCCCTTGCGCACGACTCTCGTCCATTCTGAAGAATCCTGTGATGAAGACATTGTGAAGCTAAATATTGAACGTGAAGCCAAAGCCAATGTGCATAAAACAAAATTAGCAGAAAGTGGAGTGAGATGATGAATCAATTGATACGATCGTGTAAAAGGTGGGGAATAATGGTGAGATGTTCACTTATAGTGAGTCTCTCAGTGAAGATTGTCGTGAAGATTGAGATTTCGATACTCCACAGGGCTCGGTGAGCGTCGGTGAAGACAAGGTGAGTTTTAAGATCTTAGTGGCGTTTTGAGTTCAATGTTTAAAAACGATGGAGAATAAAACCCCGACTGGTCTGTCTCTGCCCAAATTATATAGCCCAGCGACGACATGATTGCTCGTTCTGTGAAATATTTGTTATTATCGTCACGCTGTGGCTTGCCATGTCACAAATTGAAGACATCCGTAGGGCGCATGATTGAAGAACCCATGGTCCAACAAGCACAAGTTAAACCCTCTCTCGCCGAAAATGCAACGATAGCACAGAGCACAAAGGGACAGCCAATCACAAGCCGTACTGATAAGAGCATCAGCTTACGGTAGTGTCTGCGTCTGTGCTTGCCTAGCTTGTGTGTCTCTGGTGATGGATGTGACCATCTTGGCGTCTACGCGGCACCCAAGCCCCGAGCCTCAAACTATCACCAAAGCCATCATCAGATCAAACCGCGGCTACGAATCGTTCATCGGCTCTCCTGATCCGATCTTTCCATGAAGTGAGTCGACCTCTCCAGTCTCTACCGTCCCTTTTTGCAGTCTTCATTAACCGGCATATCCCATCACCAACCCCCGCCCCTCTACCCCATCGACTCTAATATCTCATTGGCTCACCTCTGAGATAAGTCTAGCGCCAGCGCTTAAAACATCTCCAGTCACAGCCCAGAAACGCCCTGTAGCCCTGTAAATCACTCATCCCGCTGATCCCATTGGCCGTGTGTTCCCGTTCTGCAGCAGGGGTCACACCCTCCAAGATGCATCGTCAACGGCCTCTTACTGGGCCATCACATCCAATGTTGAGCTGGGCGGCTGCAAAGATGGCCACCCAGCGCAGTGCCTTAAGACCAGAACTCGCGGCCTCCTCTTCATCTTCCTTTTTCTCCGAAGAAGCTCTTGTTATATCATAGTCGTTGGTTCGTGAAATTTTTAAATGTTCGAGGCTGAGCCTTGTTCTTGTTCTTTGTCTGTTTGCTAGAGAGTATCACCCAATACTACGAGATAAACCACACAAACCGCAATCATGAGGACGTCAGCATTCATCTCGGTCCTCCTCGCGACAATCGTGTCAGCACACAGCGTGATTACCTATCCCGGCTGGCGAGGAAACAACCTCATAACCAACGCAACATTTCCCTACGGCATGCAATGGATCTACCCATGTACGTCCCCCTCTACTCTCTCACCTCTCCTCAGCGACACCAATTAACATCATCAGGCGGCGGTCACAATGTCACGACAAACAGAACATACTGGCCCACAAGAGGCGGCGCTGTCGCATTCCAGCCCGGCTGGTTCCGTGGCCACGAGACAGCCTTCGCCTACGTCAACATGGGCTTTGGCGACGACGGTCCTGACGGCGGCCCAGCGAACATGACACAGCCCGTCGTCCCCATGTTCCAGATCCTCGGTCCCACCAACAATCCCTTCCCCGGAACCATCTGTCTCCCTCAGGTGCCTCTGCCCAAGAACACCACCGTAAAGGCAGGCGACAAGGCTACAATCCAAGTTGTAGAACTCGCCGTTCACGGTGCAGCTCTGTACTCTGTACGTCCTCTATCCCCCGAAATTTGTATTGAAGGAAAGGTTGATTAACATGTGTAGTGCGTCGACATCATCTTCGCAGAGCCAGGAGACAAGAGAATCGCCGAAGTTAACGAGACAAACTGCTTCAACTCCACCGACATCGGCTTCGCAGAGATCTACACCATCACGACCAAGCAATCGGGCTCCGACGCCTACGTTAGCGAATCCGGCGCGACACGAACCCTGCGCCAGCTGAACATGGCAGGCTGGCTACCGCTCGTGGCAGCGGGTGCATATGCCCTGTTTGCGTGATTGACGAGACCGATATGAAAGAAAATTGTACAAAGCATAATGACTGGCGTTTTTACGGGCGGGGAACTTTGGCATATCCCTGGGTTTTATTGTTTATATCCCTTCATTTATTTTTATAATGTTGCGGCTGTCCTGAGGGGACTGAGATATCGCACGTGGTGTGTTGTTGGAGGAGCTTTATCTGCTTCATTCATTTGAGACACCGCGTAGGATGAGAATCTACGACTATTCAAGTTCATAAACCACGCTATTGATGTGATAAATTGTCGTGAGAATGAGATGCTAGAGTCTTGAAGTGAGATGAAATGAGACGATGGCTCACGATTGAGATCAATTGACAGACGCCTCTCACAACGCCACAGACATCACGATCACCACAAAGCCATTGCGTATCAATCTATCGCATTCGTCTACCACTAATTCTATGTGTTTCTCTTCTAATTCCGTACATCCGCCGTTCCACGTCAAGCAGAACCCGTCTTGGCGCTGTATCTGCCTGCATACCCGTCACCATCATATCACATTCACGGAGCGACCTTAGCGCACTCGGCCGCGACAGACTTGACACGCTCCTCAGAGCTTCGTCCAACAGCACTCTGGATCCACCCCTTGATACCGAGATTAGCCGCCTCCGCCTTTGATGCGGAGAGCAATGTGCCGAGCGCCACTAGGGCGCGGTATAGAACCTCTGAGTCTGTTTGACCATCACGGGAGAGGATCGTGCCGAGAAGGATAGCGAGACGGCGACGCTGATCGGGTGTGAGGAGGCGCTCGCGATGGACGAGCACTGAGAGGTTGACTGCTGCGGTTGTAGCAGCGATGAGGACGTTGCGATTGAACGGCCCGATGGGTTCCGAGGACACACCAACGATACGCTCCAGGAACGAAATGGCCTCGTCCGATTGAGCACTAACAATCGAGCGGCCATTCGCGGTGGAGAAGATGTTGGCGAGGGTACGTAGACCCATCATGGCAGCGTTCTCGTTGGGAGTTTCGCCCTGGGGTAGAGAGGACGCGAAAGCAATGTCGAGAAGGGAGCCAACGGTAGGGTCAGAGAATTGAGCGACGAGAGGGTACTTCGCGACACAACGAAGGAGATCAAGACCGGCGAGACGGTCAGAGTAGGGCCATTGTGTAAGGATGCGGACGAGAAGAGGCAGGGCTGTTTGGGGAACGGGTTTGTTAGACTCAAGCGCGGCGCGCAGTTCCGACAGCACAGATTCATCGGATGGGTTCAAAGCGGCATCTTTGCGACCCGATGAGATCATGTTCTTGTTGACGGTCAAGATTTTGTTGAAGATTGCTGGTGTTGTCAGTAATTGAGCAAAAGCAGAGGTACAGACCTCTTACCTTCGTATTTGGCTGCTGTAATGCTGAGATAGTCCTTCTGGGGGAGCACCTTGGGCTGGGTGTTCTCACCAGGTCGGTATCGTGACTCGGTACCAAGAGGATCAGGCCCGCTGGCCTCTGAAGTTTGACCAAGAGTAGCTCCCTTGGTATTTTCGGTGATGAAGTTGGCCACATTGTCAAGATACGAGAGCGGTAGCTCATTGTCGCCCAAGAACTTGGTGGCTCGCTCGTAAGGGTTCTCAGAGAGGTTGTAAGGAAGCTTCAGAGGAGGCTTGCCATCCTCAATATCGACATCAAAGACGTAGTCATACATCTTTCCTTGATACTCAACCTTCTTACCAGTGCTGGCGACAGCATCAACGACTGTACCAACATTGACCCATTGCTGTTGGCTCACTGACCACGTATGAGCAGTGACATTGCCATTATCCTCCTTGATCATCTGAACCTGTCCCTCCTTGGTACCCGCCTTGCTGGTAAGGAACTCCGGACCAGGAAGCTTCTCCTTGTTGACACCCCCGACCTGTTGCTGAGGGATCGATGAAGCCTTGACAGACTCTTCAAACTCCTTGAGTGTCGCTTCATCGGCAGTACGGTCGGGGCTTCGTGTAAAGACGCGGGCAATACTATCACTGGCACCCGTAACGATGTCGCCGGTCTCGGGGTTCGCAGCGACTGTCCATACCGAAATGGCGGGATGTGTGATTGTCTGTACACACTCGGTACCCTTCCATATCCTGACGGTACGATCCTCTCCCGAACTAACCAGCTCACCTGTCGGGAGACTGGCCAAACTGTAGACAAAGCTTTCGTGTCCATGCAGCTCGGCGACTTGTTGGCCATTCAGCTTCCACAGGCGGATTGTTCCGTCGTTGCTTGCGCTCGCAATGTCTGCACCACTGGGATGACCGTTGGGTACACGACAGAGAGCGCGGACAACATCAGGTGTGTAGATGGTAGAGCTTGGCGACACCTCACCAGCGGTAGACTGCCGCAGGTCAAAGATACGAATGCTCTTGTCGGCGCAACCAGTCACTACTGTGTGCTCATCAAATGCAACAACGCTCCAGACCGCCATGCTTTCGTGGCCGCTCAACGAGAGCTCTGTTTCCCATTTCTCAGGGCTCCATACCCGCGCCTGACCATCCCAGCCACCTGATACCAAGTATTTGCCGTCGGGTGAGACGTCGAGCGTGCAAACGTTGTGAGAATGACCGATCAAGAGACGTTCGGCGTTATCGGAGCTGGAAGCTTTGGGGGACTTGACTTCGATGATGGTATCCTTGCCACCAGAGACAACATAGCCGTCTGGGTGCTCACTGGACGGAGGAAAGAAGGAGATCGAGTTGACGTATTCGGAGCCACGGCTGACCAGGGTTGCGTCGAAGTTCGGGGGAGATGCTTGGGTGCGGCGCCATATGCGGACGCTGCAATCGCGGGAGGCGGTTAAGACGGTATCGGGAGAGGGGAAGGTTGCGGCTCGAACCTATCGATCCGTTAGTGTTTCGAGATGCAGAGAACGTCGCCTAATAATGCCTACATCGGATTCGTGCCCGACCAATTGCGCCGACAGCTTGAAGTCGGTCATTTTTCTGGAGGTTGGTTTGATGGACGTATGATGAGAGGACGTGACACTGCTGAATGCAGTGGAGGGGGGAGCTTGATGAATGACTGGACAATGATGCAACTGGGTCAAGAAAGAGAACGGCTTGCTATCTCTCCAAACAAGGGTAACGCCAACGACAAAAAATCTGAATCACAGGAATATGGAAGAGGTTGTATCGTCAAAAAGTCATCAAAGGAACTGGAGAAACGTGACAAATCGTAGAGTTGATCGTTGGTCAGTAATGGAAGCTGATCGATTGATTGCCCCTTCCCGTCGGATCTGTCCCGTCCAGCTTAAGCCACAATGCGTCACTAAGCACCAGCCACCTCCACTTGGCCGGGCATATCGCTCGGGCTTAGATGTCGTGAACGATCCGGGCCTAGGGGAGGCAATAAAACTCCAGACTTTAATTCTGGACGAAAAAAAGAATTTAGGCAGGATTTAGGTAAATTGGTCTAAATCCAGGGGTCTCTTAACTCTCTTTCATGGGTTTATTTTGGCAACCTCCTCCGCAGTCTGAAGTTTTATTGTTCCCTCGGGCGGGCATTATTGCTTCGCATTTAAGCATACCTTGGGTAGGCTAAAATTAGAATACTGCATATATCATAAGTCATTGTTCTACCTTCATGGTGATACTGCTTTAGTAAGAGTTGGGCAGAAATAGCTGTTGAGAAGACTCAGGAGAGTGCAGTATATATCTTGCGTGGGATTCCGGTCCTTTTCTCAACGCTGTACGCTGAACCAAAAGAAGCCTTACACACTTAGACACCGTAAAACACCTCTTTATCTGTCTCACAAATAATTCCTTGTCCTGTATCATCAATGTCTTTGTCTCTTAAGTCGAGTCAAGATATTGTAGCCCCCAAGTGTACCCCGCTTTGTGGCGGTGCCCACCGGAAAGAAGGACCCCATCGTGTAACCCCGCTGCTCAAGTCGGGCAAGCGTGGCCCTGTCATTTTGAATGCGCGCCGCCGTTTCCTTCCCTGTCCAACCTGTTTCGTCCTGCCGTCTTCGCAAATATTTGGCAAATTCATCACCGCCCTCCTTTCCTCTCTCTCTCTCCTCTCCTTTCTCTTCTCAAGGGGGTTCGCTTTGGGGGCAATATTCACGCTTCTTGACCTCACGACACGACCCGATACAATCACGACCTTAACGTTCCGATTCTCCATCTCTTTCCTTCAAGTTTTGGGCTCGTCATTGTCATTTGCTCGAGAAAGACGCTCCACACTTCTGCGACGACACGCGACAAGCTCTGCCACGAGTCACGATCCAAACCACTCTTAACGACGCATACGACTGTTACGGCCTCTCTCATTTTCCAATTTTGACATCCTCGATTAATATCGGGTATCTCGCTACTCTCTAGACCGACATCGAATACTACAGCTGGCCGCAATTGGCTAGATTCCCATCAACGAACCGATTCCCCGCTCGTCTTCGCTTCTCTATTCTGTCGCAATGGCTTCCGAACCTCGACAATACCATCCTCTGACCTGCCACGGTCATTCTCGACCTGTTCCTCATATCGCCTTCTCTGCCTTTGAGAAGGAAAATGAGAAGGAAATTGAGAAGAAGACCGACAGCTTCTTTCTGATCTCGGCCTGCAAAGGTGCGGCAATGTCTTGTCTCAACAGAGCGCATATTGACATGATATAGATGGCAACCCTATGCTTCGAAACGGTATGACCGGCGACTGGTAGGTCACTGTCAACTGGATCTAGTAGCTCCTCTGACTTGCATAGGATTGGCACTTTTATCGGTCACAAGGGTGCTGTTTGGCAAGCTAGACTGAGCCCTGATACCTGCAGCGCAGCGACTGCATCGGCCGATTTCACAGCGTGAGTATTCTCCGTCACAAAACCCAGCTCCGCTGACATTTGCACAGCAAAATTTGGGACACCTACTCCGGCGAGTTGCTCTATACGCTGCAACACGATCACATTGTCCGTGCCATTGCCTACCCTCCCGACAACTCGGATCTTATCGCGACCGGTGGTTTCGAGAAGAAGCTGCGCATCTTTGATCTCTCGGAGCTGTCTTCTACTGGGTCCCCTGCTACAATCCCCGCCTCCGCTGGCTTCGAGATCGGCGAAGGTGTTCATACTGGTTCGATCAAGTTCATTTGCTGGACCCAGGACCCTAACATCGTCGTGACCGCATCCGACAAGACAATCCGATGGCTCGACCTGCCTAGCCGGGCCTGTATCCGACACGAAGTTCTTGATGGAGACATCAAGTCTTGCGAGATGGTGTCACTGGATCCCCAGTATGCTTCCCCTACCGACATTGGCGGCGGATTGCCAGTTCTCGCTGTTGCTGCTGGAAAGACGGCGTACTTTTGGGGTGGCCGCAATGCTATGGATGAGCTCAAGCGCTTTCCTCTGAGCTACACTATCGCTAGTGTTGCGCTCGACCTCAAGGGTCGTAAGCTAGTTGTCGGTGAGGAGCCCGGCACGTGGGCCAAGGTTATCCGATACGACGATGGAAAGGAACTCGATGTACACAAAGGACATCACGGACCTATCTGGTCAATTGCATTCTCGCCTGATGGCAAGATGTATGCCACAGGATCGGAGGATGGTACCATCAAGCTTTGGAAGAATTGTGAGGGCTTCTACGGGCTCTGGCGCGGAGGCGGAGAGAAAGTTGCAGAATAGGAACGCAGACTGATCTCTACATCCATGGACAATTCGGAGGCTGATGCTAAGTCCGAGTCCTCGTCTACTACAAAGGGTAGTAAGCGTGACATGGCCAGTCGCGCGAGTCTTGGACGCTCATTCAGAACCGAGAGCAGCGAGCACTCACACCGAACAGGCAGCCCTCTTGGCTACCTGTTCAACCATCACTGGTGATTAGCTGTTTAATGGGGAGCTTGTTGACAGATGTTATACGCATTTTGAAGGGAGATTGAGAAGTTTTCTATGTTAGACACGACACAGTTTAGTGGAGATGGCCTCAGAGGCCGATGATGAGGGCAACAGATTAAATACCTATCTACAGACGCTTTAATACAATAGTGTACTATCAGCCGACTAGCTATCCAGTCCGTCCAGTCAATCTCAATGCCATCATTTCACCTCACTCTAGTCCCATTGTCCAAGTAGGCTATCTACTCTCTTTCTATCTATAGAAAGTTCATCCAGTCTACCTAGCCACAGTTAGTCAGTCTCTATTCTACGACCAAGATCCCAATTCAGGGGGCGCATACTTAGCATTGCCCAAAAGACCTCACCAAGAGAAAAAGCTCATTCACAAATCGTGTACAACTTTTACTTCTGCAGCTTACGAGGGACACATCTACTTCGCGGTACGCATCTTGGCCTCACGCAGAGCAAGGCGGTCGGCCACCACGACCTGACGGTCGAATTCGTACTGGTAAGTACGTTCATAGTGCGACTGGCGGTCTCCGTTGCCGTCCTTGAACTCTCCGAGCATGCTGCGCGACTTCACAACGACAGTCCATGGGTCGTCCTTGATGGTGGGGATGAGTTCCCAAGGCTCGGTGGCGTCCTCAGGGTGGATGACTGTGCTCTCCTTCAGGTCACGGTCCTTTTCTTCGTCGGAGGGGCCCTTGATCAGGGTGGTCACCTTCTTGACCAGCATGGAGAACATGCTGGGCTTTGTGCACTCCGCGGGCCACTTGAAGGATGGATCAGATGGCATCTGCATTCCCATGATGGCGGTTGAGTCGGTAGGTTGGTGTGTTGGTGTGTTTGGTGTTGTCGTAGCCGAAGAGTCCTAGGACAGTGAAGAAGGCTGTTGCGTCCAAGTTTAGATGTGTAGGTTAGTGTTTGGTGATGTCTGTAGCCGGGGAGTCCTGGGGATAGCGTAGAAGGTTGTCGTGTAAGGCGTCCAAAGTTGGGTGAGTAGTCGGTGTTGGTAGGTTGGTGTTGATGGTTGTTGATCTCAAGGAGTCCGGATGGAAGTGATGTCGAGGATGACTGAAGGAAAGAAATGAGAGTTGAATTTGGCCAGAGACATCGAGAATATATACGCTCAATCTCGAGGCGATGGCTGCTTCGTCGCGAGATCTCTTGTTCTACTGGCACTGGCGAGTTTCGTCGAACAGCCAGCATATCTCTCTGTCCCTACCAGTCCATTCGCCTGCGCAACTGGCAATCTCAGTGGCAGCACAGTCGCCAAGCTGGCAGCCTAATTCATCCACCGTCGCGAATACAGGAGATCCTCCTGTTCGCGCGCATTCATCTCGAGTTCCTCTCTCGAAGTGCGATTGTCGTCGCTGTTCGCGAGATCACCATCGAGTTCATCATGATCAACGAAATCCCACTCTTCACCGGTCTCTGCATCTGTAATAGTGATGTTGGGGTTGCTACAGAGTTGGTACTTGGGCTTCTGCTCCTTGAGATGCTGCTTGGGGGTCTTGGAGAAGGTTGACCAGAGGGTGTTTTTGAGGCTGGACATCACGGGGGAGGCTTGCTTGGTGGCCTTGCGGCTGGCTTTGGAGGGGGAGGTGAGAGTAAAAATGATTGCGATGGTGTCTTGTTACCGAGTTACTGGAAGTTGTTGATGTTGATGGTGGTGCTGGTTTGGCAATCAAGACACTCGTCGCAGTATGCTCGGGGCACAAACAGAAGCCCAGGAGGCGGAATAGAGTTGACGAGAGAAAGTAGCGATTGCATAGTAATTGAATGGCAAGTGTTGTGTATTTATTGCAGGTATTGAGAGTGAATCAGCGTCCTTGGCCATTGTTCCCGATCAGTTCGCTGATCCGAGCGGCTTGTGTGTGAGCAGTGGCAACCGCCGCAGATGAATTGGCAGGCTAGAGAGCTCTATTATTAGTGTAACAAGAGTCAGGAAACCAATTGGAACCTCCGAGAGAATGTTAGATGAGCTTTTGATGACAATGGTGGTTGAGGGCGGCTGTTCCATGACCTCAGTTTTCTCGCAACAGAACAATGGAAACAAATCGCGCATGCTTTGACATACTCTAGTAAGCCGATTGATATAGGATATTGCGAAGTTCAGGTCTAAAGAGCTTTCGTTGGCCGCCAGCAATGGAGTGGCTCGATGGTGTTGATTGGCGACTGACCAGCGGAACGAGAGCAGCGACATCACAACAAAGCATTTCTTAAGACCAATTCACTCTAACGAGCCTCAATAGATATAATAGAGATCCTGCGATTGTACGCCGAACAGTTTGTCTCCATATCTTTGATGTTGAGGATGGCAGTCTTGGACTCTCACAGCATCAGAGAGTCTTACGGCGGACCTCAGCTTGCTGCAACAGAACATCGGAGATGAGTCGCATTTCTTTAGACAAGACCTAATGGGCCGGGAGATATAGGATATGGTGAGTACCAAGTCAAAAGAACTTTCGTTTATCATATGTGATATGGTGTCTCGACGATGAAGGCTGGCGATTGACGATTATGCAGCAGAACAGCGAGCGAGGACACCACAACAAGCGCCCCAATTGGGCTGTCTCACTTTATTGACCTTGAGAGATATTAAAATGAGCCCTTATATGAATACGGGACAACTAATCTCATTATCCTTGATGCTGGGGACGGCTGTGTTGACCAATCTCGCGGCATCAGTGAGAATGTTGTCGCGGACCTCAGCTTGCTACCACAGAACATTGAGGACGAGTTGAACTTTCCTACACATGCTGTAGTGGCCAGAGAGACACGCCTTAGTACAAAAGTTAAGCCAATAAAGCTTTCGTTCGGATAGGTAATGTCTCGACGGTGATGGTCGACAACCGACGATTGCGCACCTGACGACGAGCCGAGACACCACAACAGACGTTTCAATTGACTAATCTGACTTCAGTGAGCACTGATACACATAAGAGGCATCCATTAATCGGTGGCAGGGAAGTTAATCTCAACATATTTGATGTTGGAGCCTTGAGACACGGTGACTGAGAGTCTTGATCAGTCTCGCGACATCAGCGAGATGAACATAGCAATTCCTGGCAACAGAACAATTGATATGATCTGTACTACCTCGACACATAATACAATCTGTCAGGCGATACTTTAAATTGTAGCAGTCAAGAAATAGAGCCTTTATTCGCTATTATTCGATATGGTGCCTTGCTAGTCACGATTAAGGATTGCGTACAGAACGACGAGCGACGACAACAAAACATGGCGCCCAATGGACTGTACTCACTTCAATGAGTTTTAACATACATAAAATTGATCCCCTAATCATTAAATGAGCATTTAATCTCAATTGATTTGATGTTGGGGTCGTTGGGCGTGGTAATGGCAGTCTTCGGCCAGTTCCATAACGTCACTAAGAATGGATCGTGGAACTCAGCGCGGAAAGGGTAGAATAACAATATAGATGAGTCACGATCCCTCAGACATACTCTATTAAGCCGTGAGATACAGAATATTACTAAAGCTGGGCCAATAGAGCTTGTATTCGGCATGGGTAGATATGCTGCTTCGATGGTCGATTGGCGACTGTGTACAGAACGACATCACAAGAAGGCGTCCAATTGAATAAGCTCATTATAGTGAGTCTTCGCACATCCAAACTGATTCCATAGTAAGTAAGTGAGTAGTTTATCTCATTATGTTCATGTTTGTGCCCGTTCAGCGCGATGACGGCCGTCTTGGCCAGTCTCGTCGAGAATGTTCGCGGACCTCGATTAGGAGAAGGCAACAACTCATGGCAACAGAACAATAAATGTTGCTAGAGTTATACTAGCCACCATATAGCAGACTGGGCGACACAGGCTATCACAAAAGCGAAGTCAATTGAGCCCATTTGTTCGTCGCGGGTGATGCTTCGATGGTCAATTGACAACGCGCAGCGAGACGATGAGCCGCAACATCACAACAGGACATTCCGATCGCCAAGCCTCTCTCCAGAAAGTCATAACCCCTTCTACTTGGCACTATCAATTGGTTTATTTATAGTTTATCTCTCTATCTTCCTTCCTATGGACATCACGCAGCGAGCGACTCGTGCTGTCGCAGTTGGCAACGCTGCATTTCACGACAATGACTGCCAATTCGGACCAACCATCTTCATGGGCCCACGTGAAGTTATACTCACTTAGCTCTCTCAAGCTTCTTACTTGGTTGCATCCGCGACGTGCGGCTCTGCGACAATGCCCTCGTGTCTTGTCGCGATTGAACCAACTCGCCAACATCTCATTTCACGACATTGACTGGCATCATGGACAAAACATCGTCAATGCTCACATGAATGAATCTCAATTGAATCTCTCGAGGTCTAAGCTAACCTGGGTTGTAATTGCGATATGTGTTTCTGCGACAGTGTCTTCCTGTGTGTCCAGTCACGACAACGCTGTCGCGCGCGTCACTGACACTTCATTACACGATGTCAACTGCTATGCTAGACAAATGATGATGAAGAACTTAGATCTCTTAGCCTTTAATTATTTCTCTTGAACGGTCGACCTTGCTCGGCTGCATCCGCGATATGCGGCTCTGCGATAATGTCCTCGTGTTGAACGACGAGCAGCGCGGTCGCAATTGAACCAGCCCTCAGATGCTCGCCTCACTTCATCTCACTCCAACTCATCCACGCGGCGTCAAATCCGTGGAGAGTAAAAAGATGATTAATTGAGATTCAATTTCTGTTTCACTACCTCTCATCAAATCTCAATTCCCGACTCATGATCCGACATCACGGCGTCTCGGCTCCCTCGTCGGCCGACACGGAGCCGGACCTCAAGCTCAATCACCAACGACCAACGACCAACACGAAGTACAGCAGCACTTCCGCTTACATAGGAGAACTCAATTCCTTCAACCTGAGACCGCTAAAAAAGAACCACCGCGTCTAAATCCCCCGCCTCTTCCGGCATCGCAGTTCTCAACCAGCAAGAGCACGAGTTCCGCGCATGCACGGGATAATAATAGCCAGCCACCTCCACTCTGTCAAATAACTTAGCGCGCGATGCCATGTGGAAAAAGCGCCAAGATCTTCAACTCGACCTTAATGTCACCGGATGCGTTAGACAGTGGATCAAACTCATGTCAATCTCACAATTGTTCAATAAGATCATGCCTCGTGCCATTTAACTTCACCGGAGTGTCCCAGATCCAAAGATTAAAAGTCGCGGCTCCGAGTTGTCCGGTCCACGGTGTCAAGACCGCACAGCAGAAATTTCTTACACATGGCTTAGGCATCTTTGACGTTTGCGTCTGGAACGGGCTACGACCAGGATAAGTTCTCCTCTCTGAATCTTGGCTATGAATCAAGTGGATCTCAACTCATTGCTAGATTGGCGAGCTGAAGGCACCGTATAGCCCAAAGCAGAAAAGAAGAGTGTCGATCAGTGGGCGGTGCGGGATGTTACAGTACAGCGGGCGAGGTGAGATTCGGCAAACAACAGAGAGAGGGAGATCCTGCAGTGTTGTCTTGGCTAAACGAAGAGGGGGGGGATTGAACTGCGTTACGCAGTGAAGGATGCATTGGCGTATGATGTCGATGCACGTAAAGCAAGGAAAAGATGGCAACGAAAGAGGATGTGATCAGAAAAGACCTTTTGTCGCAAACGAAAAAAGGAATAGGGTGGCTGATTAAATTACATGGGGAAGTGTTGGTTCGTTTGTTCGTGCACGAATTTATGAGACATCATGTTTTCTCGCTGTTGGCGTCACATCTACCATCCGGGGTCGAACACGAATTGAGGGGGAAGCTAAAGAGGCAGAGGCCTCAAGACAAACGGCCAACGCCAACACCAACGTTTTTGTCTCAGCGTAGCATCCACTCAATTAGAGACACACAAGAAAAAGGGGAAGGAATGTCTTAAGTTACAGCACATGAACGCCACAGCGGAACAACGTTTGACAAAAAACGAAAACGACACCCTCGTGAATTGGGGATCAAAGCTTGGGTAGCTTAGCTCATGTGGAGACGAGACGAGAGAGAAGAGGACAGAGCTCCCCCCGCCCGGCCGAGCGAGCACCAACTGAAGCATGAGCTTATGCAGGGTTCCATTGTGTGTACCCAGCTTCAATTGAGTCTCGAGAAGAGACGAAATAGCTTCAGGTCGTACAAGGAAGAAAAAGGCTTGGGTGACATCACCTCCCCCTCGAACGATTGAGGGGAAATGACAAGGACTAGATGAGGAAATGGAAAGAGTCGAGATGATCGTGTTGCGATTTACGAAGCACGGACACCGGACGCTGCCGCAGTCGAACCAAGAAATGTGACAGAGGAGATTGACTTTAGATTGCTCCAGTCAAACGACAAAGACCAGATACTACGTAGATGAGAGGGACGGGTTGAGATGAAATGTCAGCGCTTGTGAAGCAACTACCGTAAAAAGAACAGAGAGCCTTTGCCGTGACAATGTCATGTATTTTGCAGTGAGAGTCAATTTGCGGAGGGAGAGAGAGAGAGGGTAGCATTCCATTGACACACACTGGTTTATGGAAATGGTTAGCCGACGCGGCCCGCTGCAGGGACGTTTTACGCCGCGCCATGTCACAAAAAACAAAAACAAAAAAAAGCCAGAACCAACACGGAATTCCTCCCTCTAAACTCAATGTAACTGTGACTGATTCAGCTGCGCGAGCCCGTGAATTAAAATTTGTGGCTGATTTAGAAAAGCACGGGCAAAGGAATGAGATTGAGTCAAGATGCTATGCCTCGTGAAAAGTGCGGATCCGAAGGCTGATTGATAGCTTGACACGCTAGGACAGGGCTGATTGATGGCATCCCAATTTCTGTGGGGATGATCAACGGATTGACACTTCAACGTCATATCGATCCTTCACCAAGATTAAAAAAAAAAAAAAAAAACAAGAAAAACGAGAACGAAATACGATAGTGAAGAGGATCATATCAGAACGAACATCTGCAATTGCCCGTCACTTACCCATCGTGATGACAAGTCCCTGCTGCCCAAATACCTTCCAACGTCACCGTGTTTCAGCCCTCCCTCTCTAGAGATGCCACTAGCCGTGCCGCAAGATGCCGCAGTAGACGCCGCAAGCTCTCCTCACCCCTCTCGGTGTTCTTCTCCCGCTTCTGTAACTCTACGGTGAAGACCCGGTGAATCTCAGAACGCGCCGATGATAAAAAAGGTACGACGAGACCCGCGTTTAAATGGCGATTCCCGAAACACCGTTCTCGTGATACCGTAAAACACACCATCAAACGGACGACGAGAGGCACGTTTCGACGATTATTTCCCGCGATGCAGCCCAGGTCCCCTCGCACCGAAAACTTGGTGGGGGAGTACATCTAACCTAACACGTGCCCTCCGTTCCGGCCCCCTCCGCTCACGCGTTGGGTGGGCAGGTCAGTCCAAAATGGGCTGTTGGCAAAATCAGGCCACTTTTCATCGCAATCCCGGTTATTCCACCACCACGGGTGAAATCTCAACGATGGGGGGGTTTTTAATGATGTGCAGCGTTTGAACTTGCTTTGTTCCCGGGACAGCGGACGGGAGGCTGCTTTAGTGGTGAATCATCGACCCATTGCGACGTAACTGATCCGAGGAGCTGTGACGATTTTGTGTATATTCAGAGATTCATTGAGGTAATTATACGGATCAACATACGGGTCAAGGTGAAGTTTCGGGAGAGAGTCAAGATTGCTTGGTGGATGAATTGAGATCGCGGGTATAGACAGAAGAGATGAGATGGAGGTTGATTGAGAACAGACGTCGACATGGGGGTTTTGGGTTGCATGCACGGCATTCAAACAGAGCGGGAACACGAAAACATGTGTCTGTCCGTATACCCTCACATTTTGCATCTAATTCTCGTTCCTGGATGCATTTCGCTTTTAAACGTATCCGCTTCATCTACAATCCCTGACACCCGACCGGTCTCGACCATCAATTGATCATATCAGCATGTTTTAAATCTGCATGTTACAATTATTTCCCGACAATTGTCTCACAACGACTCCATCTTCGGTGTTCGCCAAAACATTTAGAACGTTTGGTTGACCTTCTAGGCCTCGGGATGTTTTTTTTTTTCTTTTAACCCACGAAATGTCCAACGGCGATTGACCTCGCCACGCTGCGCGGAACAGTGCCGGGGAGCTCTTTGGACGTGGGGGGCGTCTGGATCGATAGGCGAGGAGCGAGTTTTGTTCGCTTCGGTGAATGCGGATTTGCTTCTGAGGAAAGAAAGAGACGGGAAACGTTTAGTGCTGTTTTATTTTTATTTTTGATTCTAGCCTTGAGTTTTACTGGGCTGAGGCTGATGGTGGATACGTCTCACGAATTATTGAATCCTTTCAATGGATATGCTTAAGAAATGGCCGCGTAGGGCAGTGTCTGAGTGTTAGCCCGCATATCAATTGATGTGTTACATTCACCGTTGGAATAAAAAAAAATGCGTGTCTCGGCACAAACCCAACGCCTCAGACGACAATGTCTTGAATGATGATAACAACGTCGGTTAGAGACAGCTTTGACATTTTGCCACGGGATCAACGGGCAGCTTCTTTTGCAAACGGCGAGCCAGAAATGATTGACTCGCGAGTCATGATTGGGCGGCACGGACAGTCTGACAGCTCTGAACAGGGATCAGTGCTGTTCTGGACCTTCTGGAAATTCCGAGGCGCATCGGGTAAGGAATTCTGACAGCTTCTCAATTGCATTAAACCCAGAAGCATTTTTAATTCGGTAGTTCGATATACCACGACGTGTCAACATAAAAGTTAATACGTTGGTAGAGAAGATGCAGGTAATTGGCACAGCGGAAATCTTCAACAGCCTCGCTTGCATCCTCGCACAGGGCACTCGTTGGCTCTGGTGACAACCATTGAATTCTAGAGCGCGCCGACACCGTCGATCAAAGACGGACGGGGGAGCAACTCAGCCGCTGGGAATAACAATTCGTTTGCGCATGTGCGTGCGTGCAGCATCTGTCAGTAGCCGCTGAGCTTGAGCGTTTGACTCGACTCGGAACAAAACAGGGTTATTGAGATCTCGATGAGAGGTGTACTTGTTATGGTGATCGTTGTGAGAATCCCATTCCCAATTGCAGGGGGTCACCGAGATGAACAATCCCTGGTGAGAGAGTGAGCTTCAGACGGAAGACGGAGTGCGAGGACCCCCGAAAAACGAGCGAGAGAGAAATGAAAAACGGCCCATGATGGTATCAAAAGTGGTCAATCAACTTGCCCATCCTCTGAATCCCATCCCATGGCCCATGTGCTGTCTTCCGTGCCCGTTTGTCCCCCTTCCCGGCTCAGTTATCCTTAGCTTAGCTACCACCCCCTGGCAGCATCCCTAGTGCTACCCCCCGCCAAGCTCGGCAGCCCCCGCCGCTCGACCTACGGGTCGTATGACGCGGAACAGACTCGTCGGGCGCTGTCGCTCTTGCTAGCAACTTGAACAGCGCTCCTCTTATTTATTTTATTTTGTTCTAGGTTGTCTATATATCGCTTGCCCCGTCTGACCATTTTCGGTTTCTGGAAGCACAGCATCGATATCTGAATAACATCACAGTCCTCTCACCACCTGCACACCACGACCTCTCCATCTACAGCAGTATCTCGTCTCACCATCTGGCACCCCCTCAACATATCCACACGCCCCGAGCATAAAGATACAATATCACCACCTCAGCCTTTCAAGCACCACCATCAGTCAACCATCGACTCTGCAAAACCTCACAATGGCCGACATATCATTCGACTACTTTGATCATCCCCAGAACAAACAGGTATGTTTTGTCGGTCCTTTTTACCCTACAGCACAACGAACCTTACATAACCCTGGCCCCAAAGAACCCTTGTCGTGTGGTTTTTTTGACGTCTGGGGCATTTGCATTGTTTATATGGCACATGTTTCCCCTCCCTCGTCCCCCCCTCACCTCACCTCATCCCAGCCCACTCTGCCCAATTCGAGTTACTCAACGGTCAACATCTACAAGTCCCATTTATCAATCTCATCTTTATATCAAGACTCTCTCACCACAACTCACACCATTTACTCTCTACTCTACCATCTCATACAAGCTCATTGTCTTGATCACGTCTAACATTGACATCTTCAGCACCTTGTTCCTACATCCTTCTACGACCCTGCAGACTTCAGCGGTGATTCGGCCCATTCTCCCGACTCACCACTCTCGCCCGTCTTCAACAACCCATATCAGCTCCCCGTCTCAAACGACTGGGTCAACTGGGACGACAAGGCTACACTATCACCTGATCTCGACGCCCTCCCCAAGCAAGAGCCCTTTGAAGGCATCAACCTCTCCACCATCCCATCAAGGAACAGCATGGAGCTCAGCCCCGCCATCAACCCACACGACCTCTCCGGCACTATCCCCGATGCCGTCCCCTTCGGCAGAGTAGGTCTGAATGACATCGACACTCAGCCTCTCTTCCAAACTCCCATCCCCTCCATCTCCTCTCAACCTCCTCATCTTCAGTCCAACATGATGCACTCTGCCTCCAACCCATCTCAGATGTCCTCCTCCCTCAGCAGCATCAACTCCAAGGATGCCAACGGTCGATATCCCTCCCGCAAGCGCAAGTCCTCCGGCTCCGGAAGCTCTTCCTCCCGCTCATCTACCTCTCCTCCACCCGCGACGCGTCGCCACTGCTCTCCTCCCAAGAAGACAGCCCATAACATGATCGAGAAGCGATACCGCACCAACCTCAACGACAAGATCGCCGCCCTTCGCGACTCCGTCCCCGCTCTCCGCGTCATGGTCCACCGTCTCGAGCAGCCCTGCACCGAGAACATGGACGAGGACGCCGACGAGGATCTCGGCGGACTCGCACCAGCACACAAGCTCAATAAGGCCACCATCCTCAGCAAAGCGACCGAGTACATCGCGCATCTCGAGAAGAAGAACAAGAGCCTCGCCCGGGAGAACAGTCAGCTACGGAATCGCGTTGAGGGATTCGAGATGATCGTCATGTCGCGAGATCAGGGACCCCCAGCAGGAGTCTGGGCATAGAAAGAGAAGAGATAGATTTGTGTGCTTTTGCTTTGTTGCGATATTATTATTTGGATCGGCACAACTGGAAACGCAATGCTTCGAGCTTGTGTGATGAATCATGATATCAGGCGTTTACTTCTGGCGTTCAAGATATAGGTTGGGACGGCATTGTGTTATTTTGGCGCATTGAGCGGACATTCTGTCATCATATGGGCTTCCACATAAAATACAGGAATGGTTCCTGGATAGTATAAACAATCTCCAATACATCTAATGTCCTCTTCACTCTCATTCTCTCAGTGACACTTTGCCTACTTTGCGACTTCCGCCTCTGCTTAACTTAGACTCACGATGGTGCAAGTTAGTCAACACTTCACACGCGTTTGAGCCTCATCTTCGCTTACTGGCCTCGTGGGTCTATGCAGGGACTTAACAAGGGACAGGGTGCATGTGAGATGAACACGTGCATATCAGGCGTGGCATCGGTAGATGGAGAGCGAGAAACCGACGTGGTGTGATGGGCATCAGACCACTATGGGTCGGTGGCTCAGATGGTTTGGTGTCTGATGAGGATTGGAAACGGGTGACGATGGTGAGAAGAGTAGCGGTGGATATTGTTGAGGGGGATGAGGTAGAATGAGGTGGTATGTTATGGGATGGTCAAGAAGCGTGTTGGGTTGGGAACTGAGAGTGTTGGAGCGGAGATGATAGTAGTCATGATGAGGGCTGGGGTGAAGTTATGATGGAGTCAATGACGGGCGAGGGAGATACTGACTGCAGGTATGTAAGTTGTAAGTCTAATATACTTGAATGGCTCAGGTATGAGAGGTATTACCTGCTAAACTGAGGTTGACTGAGTTGAGAGTTGTCATGATGAAGGGCCAAGGAGCTGAGAGTCAAGTTGGGACTATCACTGGAAAATTATGATCAATCCCGATAGTAGATACGTGAGTTTCGAGGCTATTGTACTGAAATATCTCGACTAAAACATGTCCATACCGTTTGAAGTTGCATTGAGATTCATTCAGAGTGAATTGCTTCGAATGTATCAAATGGAAGTGGACTAACCTGCACCGAGGGACAATGCATGCACTTGCTTCTATATTAAGCCAGTCTCAGTCGACCAATAGTGTTATATTACAATAATCTAAATAGTGAGAAGAATAATGAGAAAAACGGCCTATGAGCAATGAAATCAAAGCGTCTATTACTCGTTTACGTTAAATGGACATACTAAGGCGGAACCATCTCGAGGGCGGAGCTTTGCTTCTGTCAACTATTAGGGTACCAATACTTTCAGCTCAGAGCTCCATCGGATCAAGTTGCATAAGCAGGGCAAAACATGGAGTATCATGCTTCTGACACGCAGTGTAAGCGCCAGTGCCCACGCAGGATTTGAGAGTTGGCGCCCTTACTCTTGAGAATTGCCGCTCTGCATGACGACGATGGGAACAAATTGCTTTGTAGGCTCCCTAAGACTCTGTCAAGACATTTGCTCCCAAAGCACAATTCCAGGTTTCTGTTTTCAGCTTGCACTGGCATTTTGTCTCTTTGCATTGGCCGCGCTACATCGAGGGTAGGGAAAACCGGTGTCTGACGCTATAAGGAGCAGGAAAACCTCTGGCTTTGAACAAAGGTGCCAAAAAAACCAATCTTAGATCTATTAAATCTACACTAAGGTATACTGAACTTACCTAAGTCTTTGTGCTACTTATAATAGAGGTCTAGGTCTTCTTACCTCCCCTTGGGACAGACCAGGTTAGAGGCCCAACTAAGAGGCGTTGGTAGCGACAGGAAGATTGAGCTAGGAATGAGTAGGAGAGATAATGAAAGTAAAGATTCAATACCAGCATAATAGCTGAATACTAATATTGGCGCTCATTCTGTTGCTCAGTTGTTAGTCGTTGCTGAGGCACGACGTTCGCTCACGTCACTCGTTACAAAGACATGGCATCTTCTCACGCCGAGCGAGAAACATATGCCTTGAAGTTTTAAACCACGCCTGTTTGATGTAGACTTTTGCCGATGGATCATCCAGAATAGTAGTCCGGAAGTGTTGTCTGTATGGTTGAGTGCGACACTGCTGTTGGTATCAGGACATGAGCGCATTGCGCATCGCGGACACAGCCTGGCCAAATCGCCAACGAAAGAGAAGTGATCGAAAATTTATTGATATAGGTTGTTGCCGGTAACAGTCGGTGCCGAATTGAAGTTGTCGGGTTGTTCAATCGCGACTGTGCACCGACATTGCCGCAGAGCTGCATTTTGCGTATACGACTGGGCGAAGGAGAGCTTTCGAGAGTCTTTTTTTTTTTTAAGATATGTTCATACAGGCTCATGCCGATGTTCCTTCTAAAGTGGCAGCTGGTGTCGTGGCATGAAATCATGTCGGGTCCGCTCAATCGCGACGCAGCACATCGTACCTAGCCACAAGGGTACCGTCGCAAAGCCGCGATTCGTTAATAATATAAAGTCTACTGTAATCATATCAATCTTTAAGGACTTGAATCCCAGCACCTGTATTTTGAAGGTCAGAAATAGCTTGTTGCGGGAGCTATCGTCGAGTTACAGTCCAGCCTGCAACCGCTGTGTCCGTCCAAGACACAAAAGGCCATTATCACAAAATCACAAATCTCCGAAATAGCAAGGCAAATCGGTACCCACCGATTGCCTCGAGTCTCAAATTTCGGTAAATACTGTTGTTAGATCTATATACGTATTATTGTTTTCGATTTCGTCGAGTTGCAAATACACATTCTGTGACTGCCTACCCTGTTGTCCGCTCTGCCGTTGATTGCCCAAGCCAACAGAAGGACATGTCGCAAAGTCACAAATCAGCAGAATCGTAGGAAATAATACAGTTTTTTCTCTCTTTTAAGTCTTCCGCCTCGGTGCCTCCCTCTGCTTTGACCATATATGTCCTGTGGCTGGATGAAGTATAATTGGCTGGAGCTGCTACTACGGTGTATGAATGTAGTACCTGCAAGACTCATGGTCCGAGTACGCTGGCATGCTCACATAAGCACTGTATTTTTAAGTACTTGGCATTGGTCAGCGAACTCTACTTAGTGCCTGATCTTTATGCAGATATGTCTTCTCATTATCTTCTTCGCTTGCAATGTCATCTTTGACCAACGTTACCAGGGGGTATGTTGTAATAAATGCCAGATACTGAAAAGTCTTCCTCATTCCGGTGCTGTCGGCAATATAGATCCCATTCAGATCAGAGCAGTCCGTCATTCGCCTCTTTGTCTGCCACATAAATGTTATTTATTACAGGTTAAACGGGTCGAGAAAAACCTAACGGCAGCCATCATGTCTTGAGGTCGAGGCTTGATTTAGGCATGTTGAAAACCTAGGCGAACGCCTTTATATCCTCCTTCAGAAGTGAGTATATGTCTCGTAACTGATCTTGAATTTCACTGTTAGGGTTGGGTATGTTTTGGTCTCCTAACTAGTTTCTGGTGTTAACGGGATTTCGAGCTCATCACTTTTGAAGGGTACGCTTCATCGTCGCTGTCGATCTCGATAATATTGATGTTGACTGGCAGAGCCTCTACAGCTGTGGAGGTGCTGTGTTTGCTGTTGTTATTATTGACGCTCCCTGACTGCGCAGCAGCTGAATCTTCACCCTGAATTCAGCGGCATGGTTGACTTGATATGGTATGAGCCTGGGAAGGCGACAACTCTCCGAGGTGCTAAACCTGCCGGTGGCAATGTAAAGTTCTAGCTTTGACTAGCAAAGAAGTGAAGGATGCGTTGTCTACGATGTACTCTGTACTAGTGTGGGCAGGTTTCGCAAGGAGGACTGCAATGTAGAATCCCTGAAATTGGTTCGATGAAACCCCGTGGGCAGCTTCTAGGGGCTTGCTGAACTCGGAAAGCGATTAGCGAAGGGCGTGTCTCTCGTCTGTTTCTGGTGGAGCCATGAGATCTCGATTCTGTTGCTCAGCCAGCAAATGAATGTATGTATCTGCTGCCTGGGGCCAACCGGCCTGTTGGATGCGAATATCGTCGAACTTTGAGGCAGACAGGGTGCCCGATGATCTGTCAGTGGTGTTTATGAATGTAAACGAGAAGAAGTCTTACCTTGCTCATAAGGGAGACCACCAAGTGTGGGCACTCAGGGCTCTGAGAGGGTCGTGATGGCGCGGAGATAAAAAGGAAGGTAGGGATATGGGTGGTTACAGAGAGAGTTCCGTCGACGTAAAGTTCCCATGGAATGACTGCGATAGGGGAGCAGATTGTTTGGCACACGAGTATGTTTCGCGTTGTTGTTGAAGGTAGGTAGATAAAGTAGGTAACTAGATGCTCCTCAACACTCAGTAGACTCTGCTGATGCGAGGGTAACTCACTCATCCAGGTACAATAGGTGGTAGGTGCTTCGCTCAAAGAGGAGCTCAGATTTTGACAAGCCTGAGCTAAATCATCCCGAAAGAAGAAGTGGAGGGTTCAAGAGCATTATATTACATCGTACAAGGGCTTCTCCTCGGCCACTATAACACCTAGGATCCGCTCCTCAACCCGCAATTCACTTACACAACTTTTGCCCTGCCACGATTACTAACGGCAATCAGAGGATATGATCCCGGCGTACGTTGGAAATAAATCTGTTTCTTGAACACTAACGGTCCCGGAGGACCGAAGAACAGGCACCGCCGAGTTGGGATGCCTTGAAAGGAATGGCACAGCTATGCCCTTTACTTTCTTCGAGATTGTCTCCAAAACCGTCTGCTATCTCTTGGTCCCACAGAAACCGTAAGCGTATCTCTTCATGTCCGCACACTCAGCCCTGTTGTGCAAGAACACATAACGATAAACAAACTTGACACTCAGGTTGACAGTCTCTTCGCCAAGTCGAAATATCATGAAGTTATCGAACTACTTCCAGCTGTAGTAGAATCGCTCCAGGACGTCTGGCGACGAGTTTCTTAGTGCCGTCACTTGGCTTAACCTGCGTGTTGGCATCAAAGAAAGCCGCCAATACCGCGGTAGATTCCATCTCGTGCTGCTCGGCACTGCTGACAATTTTGACATCTCTGGTCGACTACAAACAGTATCTTGTCCAGCCACTTCTCTGACAGCTCCCGTACTCCGTGCCAAACCGCTCCGGCCGGGATTGATTACCATGCACCCAACGGCCATGGATTTGGTTGAGCCCTGAAAACCCTAGTCCCATCTTCGAATGCTTTCACTCAACCTCAGTTGGGAGTCTCAGCACCTGCGGTAGCTTCCATCATTTCTTCATCTTGATCCTTAAGCAATCACCTATCAGGTCGTCCCTCCTCTGGGTTAATGGTCGAGAAAATGCTCTCTATGATACCGACTAATCGTTCAAAATGATCCGCGCCTACTTTATGTTGATCACAGATCGCTTCGCAGTGATCGCGCTCTCCATTTCCATCACGATGTTGTGGACCTAACGTGCCAAGTAGACACGACTTTTTGTATCGCAAGATCAATTCTCACCTTTCCTTCACTCTCATCTATCTCTCAACCCTTTTGATCGAGCTATCGCTATTGGTCCTGGAATATCATTTCTTTTTCATCGTCCTTTAGCTGAAGTTCTGCACATCATGGTTTCGCTTCTGTCCGCATCTTCTGAATCTTGGAACTCGACGTGTCCATCTCCCGGCGAATCGTGATCGTGGGTTTCGAAGTTATCCAGACGTAAGATAGTATTCTGCGCGTACTTGCCAATGCTGTTGCAGGTGTCTTAAGACTTGACTTCGGCGGTCATGGCTAGAAAAGGTCCGGTGAGAAGGGGTGACAAAGTGGTCTTACCTGATATGAAGGTGTTGAAACCCGGAGGCTTTTTGATTCCTCGGTTAGCCTGATCACAGCCGCTTTACCAGCTGCTCGTTAATGTAAAATCAAAGACTGCTCGGAGTTGCCAGTGCAAATAGCTGGTGAGCGCTGGAACAGACATTCGCCTTTTGCGGCGGCTCCTCTGTGTCTAAGTCTGACATCTTGATATAGCCTTTATCCCTCGACTGGCTATCCTATTGTTGCCGTCGCGGACAATATCCTCGTCGAAGTCGAACTCGCCGTCCTGAAATTCTTCACCATCTCCCTAGCTTGAGAAGTTAGACAAGTCCACTATGCATTCGCATTGGAAGAAATAAGAATACCGCCATCTGTCTTACACTCAATCTCGGACCCTAGCTCGAAGCAGTATGACTGTAACTACTGCTGGCCAGGGAATAGTATTATGCTGTATACTATACTTTTTTATATTTTCCATCTTTAACGTTTTCATCAAGTATTGATATAATAATACAGTAGTAAAATAGTATAGTAGGATAAGATCATAAGAGTCAAGGAGGATAGTAGTATAGGAGTATAGGACTTCAGGAGCATTTCTTTTTTCCTCAGCTTTGCATTTATACATCTTAGGCTATTTGGTTCAAATCTCAAAACAGCCTCAGCTCTTTCTGGTAAGCTTTTCGAGATATGCACTCACAACGGAATGTGCAAGCCCCAGTTTGTCACCTCGAGAGGTGTGTGCTTTTGAATCAACGTGTTAAGAAAAGGTTGGTTTAGACTGATGGCTATCGGAGATGACATAATTAAAGCGGAGCCTTGCAAAGATGTCGTGCACTATGATCTTGTTACAATATGTATGACCACGCGACGCAAAGCTTGCGGCCGGTGGGTTGACTGAGGAACTAACGTAATAGAGATCTGGCCGGAGTGGTTGGAAAGTAAAATTGGTCTTCTGTCGCTGGTTAACAAGTTTCTAAAGGTCAGGTTATTTTTCAGTTACTTGCGGGTGTCTGGCGAATGATGGTTTGCTTTTTGTAATACAATAAAAGAATTCAAATGTTCTGCTTACCTGCGGATCTGACCACCAGCACTGAGTAAGCAATGAGCTTTTACAATAAGTGCATAGTAAATCAAGAGATAAAACATGACGTAACTCAAATAGAAAAGTGAATCGGAGGATAGGAGGAAAGGAACATTGGCGTATAAGTGGAAAGTTAGTTTGTTATTCTATGCCGACTACATCACACAAGACTTTCAGCATTTTGTAAAGTAACCACCTCCATACCCACTTGCTATTTTTGCCATCCTTGATATCAGAGAAACCTTCTTGGTATCTGCAGTACTCAGGTGCTAGACAGCGCCTATGGACTCGACGCAGACTCCAATGTTCATCGGAATGCACGTCGACTGGCTTGTTTATCAGGTAGTGTCGCTGTTGGAAGTAAAGTTGAGACAAACAAGCCTTCCTGTTTAAGTACGTTAACCAGTGGATGGAGGAGGAGCAAAATGGAGAAACGTGGTTAGTAACTGAGAAGCATATCGACTGCCTTCAACGTCAGCAGGAGGATGATAACTGATCGCTCGAGCACACTATTAAATCTGCGACATCTATGGTCCAACTCTCGACCGACGACGATCTATGCCAGAGGCTGTTAGTGCTTGGCGCTTAACACATTTCGTATTGACATCACCTCTATTAAACCCGGTTCTGTTACCGTCAGCTCTTCCGTATGGAAGACCATCGCAGGTCTTTAAAAGGCATCAACGGAAAGTCAAGACTGAAAGCAAGTCTCTGCCGCTCAGAAGATGGCAATGATGGTATTAGTATCGGGCTGCGTACACGAAGCGGGCTGGCAGGCGATACAAGCCTTTCAATATGCCCAGGTCAAGGACCTGGACCATCGGGAAGCGTCAATTCTAGTTCGATCGTCGAGCAGATGGGAAAACTGTACTCAGTAGAAGTCAACTAACCTGCACCAAGTACAAGCTGAGTAACCTACACCAAGTCCAACTGACATAACCTGTACCCATGGCCTCGAAACATTGCAAATATCAAAAAAACACCAACCTGCCCCAACTCTCCCCAAATTTCACGCCATAACTTCAAGAGCAACCTTGAACTCCTCAGCTACAGTCTCAATCCATTTCGAGTCATCCTTCACCGGCTCCCATCCAAACTCGCGACTCCGATCCCCCCTTGTCTCAGACCTACTACTCATCAACAACACTCATCCACAACAGCAGCTCAACTTACCTCGAACACAATCCAAGCTCCGTTAAATGCTCATCACCGTCGAACCAAGCTTTACTAACCTCCTTCAACCCAACACTCTCCGGTTCAGCGGCAAGTTTGCCTCGTTGATGGCCAACTCTTGCAATCTCGTTCGCTATGTCAAGCCAAGACTGTTTCCCATGGTTCGCAAAGAAGAAACCCTCCTTTCCAAAGGGTAAATCTTTCTGCTTGACAACCTTTGCTAGAATGAGGGCGTAAAGCGCTGCAATGTCCTCAACATGTGTATGATCCCAGACCCCCAACCCATCACCAGCATACATCGCTCGCCCCCTCTCAAGAGCAGCCCTAACCATCGTCGGAACCTGAATCGACGACTTGTTCAACAAGCCCGTTCCCCTACCATAGATCAAAGGCGAGCAGATGATATACGTCTTGACATCCAACTCCTCACCTAGTTCAAAAACCATCACGTCAGCAGTTCGTTGATGATAAGGCTCAATCCCCTCTCTCATCCTCTCATAAGCATAAACATTATCTTTATCCGAAAACACCCTTTTCTCAGTGTAAGTCTTCGAAACAGGCCTGTCGCCAAAGTTTGAAGTTCCCGAGTTGTGAATGTAGTGTACTTCACGCCCTGTTTGGCGCTTCCGTTGCGCGAGACCGCGGATGAAGGCTTGGGCGGAAGGGATGTGATAACCGTTTGCTGCGTGGATGACAATATCGTGTGTTGAAGCTACTTCAGTGAGAAAGGCTGTATCGTCGAGGTTTGCGAAGAGAAGAGGTGTTACTGGAAGGGAGGAGAGAGTCGAGGCTTGGGATTGAGTGCGGATGAGGGCTGTTATGGGGAGTTTAGCGAGGAAGGGGTTTGAGAGGACCGTTGTCAATACGCTGCCGCCACTGAAGTTGTGAGTAAAGTGTTTTGAAGGATAAGAGGGAAGAGCTACACGTAGCCAGTTGCACCGGTGATGAGAATTCTTGGAGTTTCCATGATGTTCGTGGTTGACAGGCTGAGAGTAGAGAGGTTGAACTTGTAAATATCATCAAGTATCATTCATCACTCTTTGAGATAATGGCTGTTTTATACTTTGGCCAAAGGCTTTGCATCACAAGAAGCATATACAGAAGGAGTATAGGGAGTTGCCCAAAGGAGAAATCGGTGCTTGCATGGAGACGACTTCGGGGTTAAGGGCCCGGACTTAGCAACACTTGACCTATTAAACGGATATAAACCATGGCATGCAGATTTGACATACCCTTAGTTTGAGAACTTCATAGAGGAGTAAGATAGTTGGATTGATTGGTTGACGATTTCGTTTGGTTGATTTCTGCTCGGCAAAGACTCATGACGTAACGCCCCAGAAACCAGCCCAGTAGTATTTTGAGTCTCCCAATATGTCTAACAACCCAACACAAATTTATTGTCATTAGTGAGTTGTACATAAGTACAGTAGTTTGCAGTAGGAACCTGATGCTGATCACAACGCCAAGTCTCATGGTTCTTTGGTGCAGGCATCGAGTTCCCTTTGTAAGACTTATAGAGCCTGGTGTAGGCGATGACACCTGTCAGGCCAGTGAGTCACCATATGTCGGTCCACAGGTACCAGTCCAGCTCACTTGATGCTGCGCAAAGAGAGGGCAAGGGAAGCAGCGCATGGTAGCAGTCGTCAGTCGAATCAAGGATCGTCAGCTCCTCTGGGACGATACCAGCTCCGGACAGGATCAATCGACAATCTGCGTGTCTGAAGACATACCGAAAACCGTAATTGATATACTCACAGAACAGAAACTTCGGACGATCATTATCAAGCAAGGTGGTTGTCCTTGTTATCTCGTCTGCCGTTTGGATCTGCTCGCCATGAAGTAAGAACAGCAAAGCTATCAAGGTATGTTGCTCATATGTGTTCTTTACCTTTGAGCCGGGCGGGGCCTAAAGCTTCTTCCAACACCTCCAACTCATATGTATAGTTGTAGCTATGAAGGATGGTAGTAATGTGTCTCAAATATCCTGCTACATTGGCGAACGCACTGGTTCGGTAGCCAGTTGATAGCCCAAGTGGTGCAACCTCCCATTCCAAGAGGGTAATATTGGATGAACCCCAAGTCACTCAGCGTATTCAAAGCGTACTTACCTAATGCCGATAGAACAGTGATTGCACAAATGTTGCTCTTAAAGAGGAGACTTTGAGTTAAGAAAAGTGGCTTAAGCTGAGGCTTGGCCCCCGTGTCCAATGCGGTATTGCTTCACCAACAGAGCAGATCAGAAGCGACGCACCAATTGAGTGAAGGAAAAATTCAACTGACTACCTCTCTTACATAACTTCAAAAAGTAACCCCAAATGCCCTCGATAGCTTCGAATAGCCCAGCTACAGGGTGTGTACGCCGAGGCAATAACAGACCGCTGCCCGCCAGCATGATGCCCTAACTGGTCGCCATTTCAGAGACCAAATGGACACTAAGATTATTAGTAAAACGTACAACCCAAAGCTGCTGCCCTTTTCGCCAGAATTGGCCAAACTCTACAAAATGCTTTTCGACGAAATCACCAGCCTTTGGCTCACCGCGTGGGACCTGCGGTAGCGATGCCGTGTCTTGCCAACGATGCAGGCTTGATGTGATATTCCCTGCCTTGGTGTTTTGCCTGATAGCACCTCGAGCCTTTGTGTTCAAGCCATTTGTGACTCATTCAACGAAGCTTTATTTGACTGAAAACTTAGTCCTGATTACTACCGAAACTCCAATAGGTCGACTGATCCCACCAGACAGACAAGCTTTTCCTCACAGTCGTCGCTCGCCGGTTTTGAGAAGTGAGGAGATGGCACAGGCCGAGGCCCGATCAACTGCCGGACGATGGAAGTAATCTTGAGGGTGTTATCTTGGGTTGACAGACTTGCTTGCATCGGGCATCTTGCCTTGTGTGTTTTTGTGTGCTTTGAGCTGGATCGTCTTGACGGAAGAGCAGCAGGCAGGGCCCTGATTTATACCCCATTGGGGACGGTCATCAGGACATCTAGCTTTTTAGCCAAAAGCAAGATATTAGGCACCAGTGAGGGCAGGGAGTGTATTGCCCATATCTGTTAATTTGTGCTCTTTACCTCTGTGTTGGGGCTGAAGCCTCTTCTAATCTCTCAACCTTATCACAGCGCCTCGAGCTTACCATCGCTCTAGATGTTTTCATGCCTTACCACGGCGCAAAACCTGACAAAAGAAATACACACAGAGATTGTACTGTAGACCGGAAAATAAAATTAGGTAGAGGAAAATTGGAAGAATATTAGATGAGGCTCTGAATATCTGAGTATTTAAATATGTCCGGTACTGGAGGAACTATGAAGGGCTGAAGGTGCACGATACGCTTCAGCAGCAGGGCATCTTACAGCGCGCTATGTAGGACATTTTACAGCGGGCGCATCCTTCGACTTCATTATGGATGTGACGAATATTCTTGGTGCCTCTGCTTATCGACCGATCGTGTCAGTTGAATTGCGCTGTCTCATTCAGCGGTTGTAGAAGTGGCCAGTGCTCTTGATGCACTACATTGACCCCCCCTGTCGGAACTCGGACCTGACTAGAAATGCTCTCAAATCACGACATAATGTCTTGGCTGCCGAGTTTGCTGATTTTAACAAGCCACTGGCATAAATATTTGTCACCCTGATGAACAATGCAATTTTGACTACATGCTAGTCTCCGCGCATGTCGCTAGATGGCATGCGTTGGAGCGCTGGCCTCTTCAGGGCCCTTGGCTGCCATTTCAAAAGGCTGCTGCGTGAAGCAGGCCACTCTCCATCATGGAGAGCAGTGGACAATAGTTTCGCATAACGGAAATAGAGGCTTCGGCCTGGCCGTGGAAGCCGTCTTGGTCAAACAAGCACCGGCGGTGTACTGTTGTAGTACTACCGGAACTGATATGGCTGTTTATGAAGCATCTGCTGGGAACTACCTGCAGCGAGGCTGTCTGTGTTGAATAGAGATTTTGGTCCGGCTTTCACTCTGGAAGCATCATCAATTATGTAAAAGTATTAATTGAATGCAGCAGGCAACACTTCGGTGTGTCCTGACGTGGAATATGTCGCATGAGCCTCGAGTTTGCAAGACCAAGTTTGTCTCTAATCCGTCAAGTCAAGCCAATTCAATTTTATAGTATTCACCCTATCTCAATGAACCTATTTAATTTCGTTCCGAACCTTTCTCATTCTGTATTCGAACCGAATTTGTTTACGAATCTTGCTCCTTGACCTTTCCTCCCTGTGACTCGATATACTGCTCCCTGGTCTGAAGGTCATATTTGGCAGGTAGCATAACATCGTAGAATAGATCAGTAGGCATCTTGCAGCCAAAGTGTCTTGCTTGAAAATCCCATCTGTCAATACGGTCTTCTACATCATCAAACCCTTTAGTTTCCTCGACTAATACATTGGGGTCTACCGGAACCCCAGGGTGAAAGTCCGAACGCAAGATCGACTTCTTGTTGACCAAGTGCTCAACCGCTTCCCTGAATCTGGGCTCGAGGTAGAACTTATCCGGTGTTGCAGACAACTCATATATAGATCTGAAGAGGTCAAGTTCACAGCATTTATCGAATGCTTCGCCCTCCGCAATGGCCACGTGAACGCACCCCTGGAAAACCTCGGTACAAAGATCACCAAAGGGTCCACCCTCCAAAGTAAAGATGAAGGAACCTGGGGGGATATCCAAGTCCCGCACAGCAAGAGCGTCAATAAGCCAGGATTGTAACTTTGGGAGGAAGGAAGGGCCATATAACGGTGTGGTTTTGGCTCGAGTCATCCAGTCCTTGCTCGGCCCCGCGAAGTTGTCGATACAGCCAAAAAGACTGACACGGCGCTCCACTCGAAGAAAGGGATTCTCCTTAAACAAAGGGACCAGGCCCTGGGCGTGAAGTGAAGGCATGTTGACTGATGGAGAGACTTCAAGCAATGTGAGCCTGCGGATCTGGGTTCGCTGCTCAGCGGGCAGCCTGTTAAGGAAACGTATTGCTGTAGCAGTAGCAGAGAATGTTATTTTCTCTCGATAACGATAATCGAAATGATCAACCAATCTCATGGGATTATCATATTCGGCAGCGTATTGACCTCGCTCGGCGTTTTCTGGACGTGGCTTACTGGGATAATCGCCAAGTTCCTTGTAGAACCCGCGGGGATATTTCCAGATCTCAGGCAGTTTCCACACAAATTCGTGAATATTCAACAGAGCCAATGCATGGGCGACATCCTCCCTTGAAGGAATGTCCCAAAGGTTGAACTTGAGCCCAAGAAACTCTTGCGGACGGTACTTGCCAATCCAGTGGGGCAAGGTCTTGTATACCTGATTGTCAAATTCCGTTGGCGCCTCTTTAGCGATGAGCCGCAGACAATAAGACAGCGCATCCCGGATATCCCCGGATTGCGCTTGCCATCCATCATGTGAGCCTTTTGGTAATCTAAAATATGGGTCCATGAAGTCTTGTTCATGAACATCAGCAAAGCCGACATAGGCGGAAGGACCAAGGACATCGGGGCTGTCGACATTCAATCTGAAAAAGAATTCTACCCAGTGACAGAGGGGAGGTCGCATCCTATCCACAAGCGCTTCCCTCGATGGGGGCCTGTCCCTCACCGGGTTTCTGATATTGTGGTTTGCCAGTTCTGATTCGAACATAGCCCTAAATGTTGGAAATTTGGCGTCAAGCTGAGCGAACATTACTGGAGTAATACACTCAGCGAGATGAAAGGCCAGGTCTTGCTCTAGGATGTAGTACGCAGTAGCAACAAGGTTGAAGCAACCGGCCAAGCTACGCCAGTTATCGCTGGTTGAGAAGTGGATGGTGTTGACCGCTAGGGGAATTGTTCTCGTGTCTCTTGCGATGGAGCGACATGTGTAACGAAGGGAGAGGTCGATCGGGGTACGGGCTTCATCGGCGTTCGTTAGTTTATCAGTTTGGGCATCGTACATATAACCGTCATCTACCTTAAGGCACTCTTTGAAGATTTGCTGACGAATCTCTGACGGGAGATCTGTCAGGAGTTTTGGAGCCATCTTGGTGAAGGCGACGAAGGTAAAGGCGATGATGGTGATGATTGAAGTTGGGCAAAGTTGACCAGGAATGTTGCATTGGGAGGGGCAGACAGCGGGGTTCTTATAGTAGGCTGGGTGGAGTGCATGAGCCATACAGGTAGCCAATCAAATGAACAAGCAAACATAGAGTTTCACAGACTGCGACGGACAGGAACAGAAGTTTTGGGTGTGGCATGAGCACGTTTTTATTTTTTTAAGTTTGCAAGTCAGCCTCGAAAGGTATATCCAAGCATCTCCAAAGTCTAATATAATTTAAACATTCATTACCCCTCAGCAGGCAAAGCTTCATTAAGTCAATATCATCATAGTTAGCTGCCTCAATTACAGCCTGAACCTAGCTGCACATAACCCAGCTGGAGGGCCCTGTCATCAAGAGTCAGTTTCATGTCAAAATGTCAAGGAAGCGAAGCACGTACTTACTTGCTCTTCAGCTGGCCCCAATCTTCTTCCTGCAATCCACTTCAAAGGCTAAGACAATCCAAGTCAGTTTTCAGTACCGGAGAGCAAGGTCATAATCGCATACCCACTCTGTCGCCGATCCCTGCAGCTTATTAACAGGTCAGCATCGATATAGACCAGATGCAAGACAAGAGGCCGAAGGCGAGATATAACAGAGGAGAGAGTAGACTTACATACCACGCTTGAATCATCCACTGCCCTTCGACTTCTAGGTCAGCCAGAGGCTAAGCAGTAGAGACCGCGCCGCAAACTCACCAGTAAGTGATCCGATCCGACTTCCCCTCTATCACATTAGCTTAGGTTTATCATAGGAAAGACCTCACAGGAAAGCTAATATACTTACATACCTTGTGATCGCAACCGCTAACAGCATCATAGCTTCACTGCCACGATGCCTGCTGCTGGGGGACCAATGGTTAGAAACTAATACGGCATGACGACTAACCAAAGGGTAGATGAATACTTACTCAGAAGAAGCCTGCAGACACCCGATCCCGACGAGCCTTATCTAACAGAAGGCCACGATGTGATCGATATGATCGATATGATCGACCAAGCTATCAAGGAAGACGGTCATGACAAGCTTCGTGATATGGCGATGGAAATCGGAGAGGCCTGGTTGCATAGGGATGATGCTAGCCGCGTCACTACAGAAAAGTTAGTATAAGATAAAGAAAGGAGACATGCTTAGATAAACTTACGGCTGGCAGCCTTTGGTTGCGAGATACTCCGGCTCGTACACCCTCTCTACGACGGCCACCCTCCTATCAAAGAAGCCTTCCTCAATTCCGAGATAAAGGAACTCAACAGGCTAAAAGGGAAGCTAGTCAGAGGGGCGAATCCAAGCCGGAGGGAGAGGAAATTTGTCAAGGCCCTTCGCCTGCTTGACAGGGTAAGTGAATGATACTATTCTGGTAGTTATTGAACTTACGGCGGCTTGTACGACGAGTGGCTCGAGACCATCCGAGGGCAGGCCAAGAGGGTACTGGAGAAGACCGAGCCCCTGTGACTATAAGGAGGTTAGGTTAGTATAGGTACAATAGCGGAGAAGGGCTTGATGTAAGACAGAGTACCATACAGACCAGGCTGGCCATGGTCTTGGACCACGAGAGCGCGACTGCTAAACACAGCAAGGTCAGTGGCAACTCGGAAGGTTACTAATAGGTACGATAGGCAAGGGCTTACAGACGAGGGGGACGGCGTACCGCGTGATCTGCTATCCAAGGACGGTCAACAGAGGAGGAGACAGAGGAAGAGGACGAACATACGGATGGAAGAGGGGTGATCGTGGGGTTCTGCTGAGACGTGTTAGAGTCGTGGCAACCGGGTTGGCCTGAGTGAGGCGGAGGAGGAGGCAAAACCTTACGAACCAGAGAAACTGCCAAAGTCAGAATCTGGTGAAGTAAGGGGGGAGTCGGAGGATGCGATGCCAGGGCAGTGTACGTACTGGGAAGAAAATGTATTGAGTCTAACATCAGTCAGTGACATGGACATACAGGACACAGAGAAGGCAATACTTACTTTTTGTGAGTTCAGTTGCCTAAAGTCAAAGACCTGAAGTCGTGACTGACTGAGTAAGTTGGACCGGGATAAGCGAGCTGGGTTGAAGGGAGGGCTTACCGTCGGCGTCGGCGGCGTAAAGAGGGTCAAATGGGTCACGGGACACAGCACGTGACAGATTCAACGGATCCTGATGAACAGCGTGAGCAGCAGTCAATCGGAGTGGAAGGGAGGGAAGGGTAGGAGATACTTACAGCCAAACATCAGTGCACCATCAATATAAACAGGGGCCTCGTATTCAGGTCAATGACCTAACGAGGAACCCCAAAGACGCGAAATGGAATAGATGAAGAAGGCATAAACCAACAAAGGGCTGTATGTAATACAAGGATTGAGTTATGGGTGAACCTGGTCCGGCAACCTCATCATCTTCCAAGGCCCGTATGTGGAGGCTTAAGAGCCTCCGGTGTTGAAATAGAACATAGAGTCTAGTCGAGCTATCGAAAACTGTTCGAGCCTGAAGTACATCATGGCCCAGTGAACAGCAATCTTCAGGTCGGTCGTCAGAAGCGTCTCCCATCGGAAATGCTTGACCTTCCGAATCAACAGTAACCTGGCATCATGAAGATCAGGACACTCCATGAACATGTGATAAACCGTCTGGTTAGGGTATCCGCAGGTACAAGTGGCTTCAACTCGTACCCTGACGACCGCGTTGGAACTAGGCAGCTTGACATCCCTCAACACGTGGCACTTGTTTAAGTACCAATTGAGTCCGACGCACTCGGTCCGCAGTTGCATCCCGAGTGTAGACTCAGGGCGCGTCATACCTTGATAGTAAGCCAAACTCTCTCGGCCCCATCCCTCCGTGAGCGCAAGAGGCCGGTAGGTGGTGATCTGCCTGCTTCGTCGGTCCTTGAGGTAGGCGTTCCATATTTCTGTACTAGCCTCAGCTGCTTGCAGAATCGCCCGTTGTCTGATGGCCTTGTTGCGGTTGACCGGGTTCCTCCAAGCTTCAAGAACTGTTGTTTCCTTTGGACCCTTCCAAGTAGCTCGAAATCGCTCTCCGGCTTCTTTGACCAAGAGGCGCGCCTTGTGGTTGAGGATATCGAAGGCGCTATTGTTGTACTTGTCACCCTTACCATGGAGTTTCCCATCCTGATAGTGTTGGGGTTCCTTGTCGAACCAGAAGGCATAAGGGCGTACCGTCAAAGACTTGGCGCGAAAGGAGATCGATATGCGGTAGAGGAAGACCTCGATGCTGTCGATGTGACACTCCTTCTCCAAGACAACACGTGCGGTGCCACGTATCGCACCGGATAACAGCATGATGCACTTGTACTGTAGCTTTTGGAGTCGAGCTATCTGGCCATCTGGTAGTGAGCAGTGCAGACCCCCCTTCTTAACCCAGACAAACCAGGCTGTGCAAGCATAAGAAATGACAGGCCGAATCTTGCAGATGTAATACTGCCTAGTCTTCTCGAGCGTCATCCCCCAGTTGGCCCCAGATATCCGTAGTTGATACCTCAATGCTGTCTCAACCTTTTCCTCGATAAGGGTCAAATGGTGTTCAAAGGACAGCTTAGGATCCAACATAAGCCCGAGAACCAGAAGTTTCTCATGCTGAAGACAGTTCGGGTTGCTCTTGAGCCCATCGATGTCGGGCAGTAGCGTACACGGGGGTTCAACCTTTGGCTTCTCCTTTACCCTGTCGTTCGGCCCGAGGTTCTCGCGTTTTCGTTGGTCACTCTTCTGCTTTGCCATACTCACTGGACGTTGAAAGTGCATCACCAGGGACTTCTCCGGAGAGAAGGAGAGGTGGGCACCTTTGGCCCACTCCATGATATGATCGTGGAATACCTTCAAGACAGCACAGTTCTCCTCATACGAGGGGGAGACAGCCATGAGATATGTGTCGTCCACATACGAAAAGACATGAACCTCAACATGTGGCCGCTTCATCTTCTTGATTTCCTCGGCAAGCATCACAAGCAATGGTGCCGTGTAGAACAGGAAGAGCAGGGGGGATAGTGGGGATCCTTGGGGGATGCCAATGTTGACGAAGAACGGGTCTGAAACGCTTTGGGGCAGTTTGAGAACGGTGGCGCGGTCGGAGAGAAACGAGTGAATAACGCGGAGGAACCATGTAGCGATGCCGCAGCCGGCAAGAGTCTGGAGTAGCAAGATGCGATCAACGCAATTATAAGCTCCAGATACATCAAGTGCAACCATCGAGACATGCAATTGAGGCTTGCCGTTCTGTGGTTTCCAGGCCCAGGCCTTGCGCACGATACCCAACATTGCTTTGAGGGCGTCCGTTGTTGATCTGCCAGGAGCGCCGTATTGCTTCTCGGGAAGGAGCTTGTGATCTAACGCAAGCTTCTTTAGGCGTTGGGCAAGAAATCGCTCAAATAGCTTACCAAGACACGATAACAGTGCTATAGGGCGCCAGCTGTTTGGAAGATTATAGGCTGACTTACCAGCCTTGGGCAACATCACCGTGATAGCTTTCCTGAAGGCTGCTGCGTGGTAGCCAAGCCTGATACATGCATTGAAAAGCTTAGCGATGTAAGGCGCTACCAACTCGCGACACAACTTGAGGGCCTCATTGGGGACCTTGTCCTCCCCGCAGGCCTTCTTAGACGGGAGCCTCTGGATCATGACAATGACCTCAAGCTCCGTCAAGACCAAATCCATTTCAAACTCCTCCCGATCAGGGCTGAGGTCTGGGAAGGGAAGTTCCGGAGGGTCAGACTCGCTCGTCTCTGTCCATGTGAAATCGCGGATACATTTCTGTTTTTCCTTCTCTGAGGCAAACGTAGTTCCGCCGTGGACAAGTGCGGGCACATTGATGACATTCCGAGGCTGGTATTGCGCTTTGCCTATTGAAGCCGCTACCCAGAGTGCCTTACTCTGAATGTTTTTGCGATAAGTCTTTTGGACATTGCGGTGCGAAGAATTGACGTGGTCATCAAATTGAATGTCTGGGCCCGCGGGAGTCG